CAGATTTACAGAAGGCAATTCAAGCAATGAAGATCAAGAAATGCATGAGTAGAAAGATATTAAAATTCAAAGTACTTTGCAAGAAATAGAAAATGATGAAATGATTCAGGATTACAATTAAAAAATGTAGGAATAGAAAGATCTACTTCAGCAAGTAGTGATGTAAATATAAATAATTAATAAAAATATGTAAAAAAAGTAATTTTCAATAAATAAATTTTTAAAAATAAATATTTTAATAATAATATAAAATTATTTAATTAAAATTTTTCAGAGTTCTATATATAAATCCCCACTCCAAAGATTTCTAACAATGACGGAGTGCCTCCAGAGTTTTACATCCAAAAATCTCTAGAGATCTTTATCAAAAAAAATTCCTAATACAGGTATCAGCAAGCTTACCAGGGGTAAGGCCAGTCCTATCAGCAAGAGAATACACAAAAAACTTGAGAAAAAACCTAGTACTAAACAAATAGCTTTACAAAAACAAACTATCTCTCCATCACCAAATACCTTATAAATAATACTTCAAAATGATACAACCACAGAAACAATAAAAGATATTAGCATAACAAGAACTCAATATACCTGAAGTAAATAGGTGAAAAAGGAGCAAGATATATAAAACAAGGTATATAACAATATAAGGCAAAGTACATCACAAGATTGGTGAAGGCCTCATGGAAAAAGGTAAAGAAACTGTAACTGACAATTACAGACTAGCAAGAATTGACAACTCAAATATTGAGATGGATTTTGATAACAACACCTCCTCTCAAGAGGAAAAAGACTAGCAAATCCAAGGGAAACAAAGGAAAAAAGAACCTATACAAAGTAGTAGACCAAGACCCTATTCATTCTTTAACAGAAACATTACAGTATATATGGAAAAGAGAGAATCAAACTCAAAATTAAAGCAGACTTACTAACAAAAGACTCTATAGAAAAGAAAATCATTTTTCTTATCAAAGTACTCAACTCCTCTGAAGGACTACTCACAATCCAAAACAAACAAATAGAGGAAATTAATCATATAATTATTATTTTTGGAGACTACCAATCTATAGAAACAGCTAGCAATATTACTCTAACTAAAACAAGCAATGTCAAACTCACTTCACTTCCAAAAATAATTAGTAGACTCAATAAGAAAAAGAGTATCAGAGTGTAGGACATCCCCTTGAATACAAAGTTCATTGGTGTACAACAAACATTCACCAAGTTCAAACAGATAATCAATATCAAGATAACAATATAACAAATATAATAGTCAGCCACAATCACATTCTCCAATCAGAAAGACAAATGCAAAGTACTGGAATCCTGAAGTACCCTTATCAAAGTAGACTCAGTAAAGACTTTTTATGCAACCTGAAATCTACTGAAAATGAAAAATAGATGATCTCTTTCTGCAAAATTAATTGATCTCCTGCCTAGGATCTGTATATTAAATCTCAAGCATATCTATCAAAGTTACAAGCTAAAACCTACTACATACTCTGGTTAATATCATACAAACTAAGAAAATATGCAGTTTTCAGTTTTGACAATAAACAACTTCTTAAACAAGCCCTAAATAAGATCTTCTGTCTAGGCAAAAACACTTTAATATACAAACCTATTAATATTAAGCTCTGCACTATATGTGATAGCTTCAATTATCTTATAGTCAGTTGCACAATTAAAAAATAAAGAAAACAGTGAAATGAGTATAACCATGAACAAGTACAAAAATTCAAAAAATTATATAATCGATTCAAACCAGTCAAATCCATATATATATGAAAGCTTTTAAAACAAATTTTAATTTGTAAAACAATATCAAATAGTTATATATATAACAAACAAATCTATGGGCTCAAAGTATATGAGAAATTCAACTTGAAAGTTATATAACAATACTGTTCTGTCAATTAAATAACAATGAAGTTTCAGGAATTGCAACAATTATCTAACTTAAATAAAGTTAACTCAAATACTAAGAATCCAAAAACATCATAATAATTCAATAGAAATTAAGACAATTGAGAAAGATAATATTGCATCGGCCATGGCAAAGAAATTATAGATTACATATAATAGCTAAAGATGAAAAAAGATCTTTGACACTCAAGAAGGTACCATGTCTATCAAGACAATCATAAACAATAAAAAAATATATATAAAAGTTATCCTTTCTCTAAAAAGAAACAAAATAATATTTCTGAATCAACTAATCAATATGACTACACTAACAATAAGAGAATAAAAAGTAGTTCAAATTCTTGTTGATGCTTATAAAGATCCTATTCTAAGTTGATATACACAAATCAGAACAAAGGTTACAAAACAATAAGATTTGTTAAAACAGTCTTACTGAATTTCTAAAATGGACTAAACACAAACTTCAAATAGTAAAAGTGGTTTCTAAAACTGACAAGCAGAAAATCAATTAAAGAGTCTTGACTGAAACAGTAAAAACTATTATAAAGAAAGTCAAAATGCAAAACAGAAAAGTACTTTTTATATAATATCAGCTTACCTACAATCCTATTACAAATAATACTATTTGTCATCTCCTTATATCCAAACAATCAATTATTTTATATATATTTCAAACCTGATTACTATCATAATTAAATAGACAAGAAAGTATTAGGAAAAAGAATCTATTTACACTTTCAGGAAATCCTATAAACTGGTAATCCATAATATCAACAAATGGATCAAGTATTACATAGTTGTTGAGATTAGAAGAGATTGAGATACAAATAGAGATTTGGGAAGTCAAACTGATTAAATAGGTCATATAATTAAAGGAGCATACAACAAATCCAATAAAGAATCTTAGATACAACTATAAAAGAAATATAAAACAATTCACTTTCTTTACTAATAAATTTTTAAACAATGTATAAAAAGTAAGGATAAACTTGAATTAGATTTTGTATAAATTCAAATTAAAAATAATATAATAACTAATTAATTCTTAGTAGAGATAACATCATGGCCATTAGCTACAAAAGCAAATATCCTAGCCATACTTATTGCAATCTTTACAATACTCAAAAATAAAAAAGCAATCATATATATAAATTGTAAGGTTGTTATTAAAATATAGAAGACAATCCAGTCACAAAAACTTATTTCCATAAGGAAATAAACTAAAATGACCAATTGATTACTATAGAACTAAATCAGGAATCTAATATAAAAGAAAATCTTTGCCTCATATTTGAAAAGATCAAGGCTCATCAAGATAATAAATTCAACAATATAATAGATAGATTAGTAAAGCAAATTAGAAAAGAAACTCTTTGATTTGACAAAAAAATACCTAATTTGGGTCAAGTTCTCACAAAGTAGCTTGGAGGAAATATATTATTGATATCAATATTAGAGATTTTCTTAAAAAATAAATCACAAAGAAAATGGGACTAGCCTAGACTGAGCAAAAATATATCTAAAATTGATAGATATATTCTAGTAAAGAAATTGACTAACAAATTTTTTAAAGACAATTTAATTTATATAATATCTTTTATACCTCTTTTAGCATCAATAAGGATAAGAGTTTTCTGATAAATCTAATTCATGATGAGCTTTTTACTCTCCAAGTGATGTAAAAAAAAAAACTAGACTTATATCTAAACATAATATATCAAATATACAAGTCACAAGAGAAAACTCTGAAACATCTCTTTGAATATCCCAAGACTCAAAACAAAAGATCAATTATATGAAATAAATCTTAAAGTAAAATCTTTCAGTACATTAGAAAAACAAAAAATCTATCTAATGAAAGTTAGATAGAAGTTAAAAGAGTAACAGGGAAATGGATCCAGGATATCAAATAATAGAATGAAAGCTTATATAACATGGTTTATGATTTTATACTCAGAAATAAAATCAAGATTCTGGAAAACTTTTAAGATTCTAATAACAATAATACAAGAGACTATTGATAAATATTGTAAAAAAATAAGGAAGACTTCAAGAAAGAAGTCTGGAACAAGTACTATAACATTATTATCAAATGGAAACAAAATCAAAGAATTATTAGTAAATTCAAAAGACTTAGAGTATCAATTAATGCAACTAGAAAAATAGATCAAGTCTTTAAGAAAACTAATCACTTCTCTATTCTTCTCTTCAGAAATATAACAGAAGATGAAGAAGACTCAGAATAAATAAAATCTCAAGGTAATATAGTAGATATAATAAGTAGTTGGATATTCAAAGGTTTTAAATAGTTTGATTTTTAATCACAGTTAAAACTTTGGAAGATCTATAATAATGAGTTATAGACAATAATTTGAGTATCTAAAGGATAATTCAAGTTACAAAGAAAATAAAATATCATCTCTTAAGTTGTATTTAGAGAAGATTAAACTTTATAAATGGGTGAGTTAATATATAAAAGTCACAGAATATATAAATACCAAAATATATTTACAATAAAATGGAAAGCCATATTGACCTGACTGTGAATTAAAAAAAAATTATAAAAATTTTTTTAAAAAAATTTAAAAAATAAAATAAGTATTGTGACATAAAAGTACTCTCACTTAACATATTACAGTGGTGGTGAAGAAAAGTTCTAGATGGAATGATTACCGGTTCAGAGTCTCTGGTAAAATCATGATCAATGAGATGTGTAATTGGGTATCAATGATCTTGAGAGGAAAATTAGATCAGTAACAGTTATGATAGAAATTATCAAAAAAAATTTTTTTTTCAACTTGTGAATTCGATGATCGAACGAATTCATGCCTCAGCAACCAGATCAAGACGTATGGAATTATATTATCAATCTTATTTTGGCGACGGATTTGATACTCCGTCGCCGAAATTTTAACACGTCAACATAAAAGGCTCAAGGCTTTGTTTCTTCGAAAGAACTAAAATTTTATTCGGTGCATATTATCACGTGTTCACGTATCTTGAGATGGCCAACCAGATATCATATATAATCGATATGATCAGAGAATTTATTTAGCCTTCCATGTTTTTTCTATGTAATGGCCGAGAAAGAGAACCCCATAGTTTTCTTCGATATTTCTATCGGCGGCCAACCGGCCGGACGCATGAAAATGGAGCTGTTTGCGGACTTGGTTCCAAAAACAGCCGAGAATTTTAGGTATTGAATTTTTTGAGCAAACAGAAGCAACTCGAGTGAGACGTTATTAATGCATCCACGTGGTATTTAGACAGTTATGCACAGGTGAATTCAAGTATGTCATATTAAGTAATTTCAAGGGAGCTCATATGCTTGAATGTGTTTAATTCAATACCGATCGATGTTTCCGCAGAAAGAATGGTGTTCCTCAAGGATACAAGTTGGCGACTTTTCATAGGTGAGTAGATGCTGTCTTTCCTTTACCATTTGTTTCGACGCGAAATGTAATGGCCGCTATTTATGAAGGGTGATCAAGGATTTTATGGTCCAGGGTGGCGATTTCGTAAAGGTATATATAGATTTATGAATAATTTTAATGCATAATAATCTTGTAGTCTTGTGATTAACAGAATTCACGTTTAATAGGGCGATGGAACAGGTTCAACTAGCATCTACGGAGAAAAGTTTTCAGATGAGAATTTCGAAATTAAACATACTGGCCCAGGATTACTTTCAATGGTTAGTTGATTTATTTGACGTTATGTCTAAAATATTGTTGATCTAAAATTGTATTCCGCGCGAATCTCATATGCCAGGCGAATAGCGGCCCAAATACAAATGGGTGTCAGGTGAATAAATTGATTTGATGAAATCTTCCTACAAATATCCTTGACTAATATTTGAAATCTCCTGATCACCAAGTTTTTCATCACGTGTGCAAAGTGTGATTTTCTTGATGGAAAACATGTCGTCTTTGGAAAACTCATTGACGGATTGTTAACATTAAGGAAAATTGAAAATGTTTCCACTGGACCCGGAAATAGGCCAAAGTTACCGGTAGTCATTACAGAGTGTGGTCAATATTAGAATTTATTATTTCTCATTTGATGCGTAAAAGCTCAACTTTAAACAATGTTCAATTATTTTACATCATTTAATTTACTTTGATGATCAGTCACAGCAAAATTGATGATTTAATGAATTCATAAGAGTAACTAGCAATCATCTTAATCACGCGAACTTGGTTGATCGTTGATTGACATTACAACGATGTTACATGCTCAAATTTTACTAGTTACGTGACAATTGTATAGTAGAGATGTGATCTAGGTTTTTGCTACAATACCTTCTACAAAGATTTTTCTATTGGGATCCATAAATTGGTATAAAATTTCGTCGGTTATTTCGGACTTACGCTGCAAGAGAATCCTGTCAAAATTCACCCCAACCTCTACCAACAGAGTACAAAAGTAAAGAAGCTTTACCTTTTGAAAGTTACCAACAAATTCTTGTAATACGGCTATACACTTCGCTTTTAGCTCGCCAGTCAATAGTTCTCCAGATTTATATTGCTAGCAGAGAGAAATGATTATAATGAAGTTGCCGATCAAAAGTGCATATTGCTATATACATATGTTCTATTCAACCTGACGTATTCTATCCAATTCCTCGTCGTCTTCTAAAAACGTAAATAGATATTGAAACGCGACATCGATGTCTGGGTTTCCTCCGTGTAATTTATGCAACTCTATCGTATCACCACCACCGGAGTAGGCATATTTATTGATCTAAACGACAGTATTAAAAAAATAATTCGATGTTATCCGAATGGGAAACGAAGAACCACGCGGTGATCATAAATTGGTTGAATATTTGAAAAACCTTCTTCTTTATTTGATTGGCAGTGTCTGACATGAAGATTGCGGAGTTGTCAACCGAAGCGCTCATCTTTGTTTGAGGGCCCTAATTCATAGCTCTTATGAGATAACCACGAATTATACACTCCATTGAATCTACAGCTGCTTACTTGGAGAGCGGGAAAGAATTTGGCGTGAATTAGGCTCGGTTTAGGATACTTTAATCTATGCGCGACGTCACGTGTCAACCTAAAGTAAGGATCCTAAATTCATTCGTTTATGCGCATCAAATTTTCTGAATGATAACAATTTAGCAATAATAAGGTAACTTCTCCAGGATCCACTTACTTGATCAATTGCGCACGGAATTAAACAAGGGATATCTGACCGCTTGCCAAAGATCTGAAGAAAGCTGTTGGAAAATGATGGCGCGGCCTGCACAGCGACAAAATGAATTTTCCCTATGCAATCACTTCAGATAGAGTTCAGTTTTGCTTTGTTTCATTCTTTTAAAGGATTTTATGTTTGTTTATAATATAAATGAATCCTGGTGCATACCTGTCATTGAATCCAAATGTGGCCTTTGACTGACTGGTGGTAATACACTTTGCAATCCTCACAATATTGTGATAGAATTCTTTGCTATAATAATTCAAGGCAGATCTTATCAACTATCAACAAGTTTCTTGCTGTGAATGACGACAACTGAATACTAACCCAACGTAATCAAGATTAGAAAATATAAACGTTTTTTCTAAGTCGAAGCCGCACGCGATAATGTCCTTGGCGTTTTCTTTTGAAAATTCACGTGCCTTTTCTAAAGTCAGTTCTGATTTGAAGAGAAATTTCTCGTCGTCTGGGAAAAGGTAAAAATTGGATTATTTCGTTAATCAAACGTGCAAGAATTCACCTGTCAAAATAATGAGCACCTGTCAATTGAATAACAATCGGCACATTGAAAACTTCTTGTAACCATCTAGAAACATGAAATTACTCTTTGAAATCTTGTAAAACGGAATCCTCCAAAAGTCACAGGTATATTTCTTACTGGCAAAATATGAAAGGGATCATATGACCCAGGTGCATACTGGTACTACTTGGCCCGCGTCCAGTATAAAGGAAGAATGGTTTCTTTTGTTCATATCGATCCAAAATTCTGTTAAGCTCTCTATCGAATCAAGATTATTATCAGAAACAGTTCTGCAATGTTATATGGTGACATGCGATGAAATTGTGGTTGCCTGTGGGAAAAGAATATTCCCCTTCTCAGAAGTATGTGACATTTCTTCCCGGTCAAGGCTTCAAACCTCTTCAAGAGTTCTTCGTCAATGTGCTTTGTTCCAAATTGTTCAATTAATTTATCGTAATCAATTGCTTGAGATTTGCCGTCTACGACAGCTCCTTCAACGGTCCAGGGAGTAATTATTTGGCCGCGAGTTTCGTTTTCACTGTTTAACCGATTAGCTCTATAGTACAAGATAAACACAAAATAAAAATAAAAATGCTCACCCATCGGGATTCGGTACTTTCTTTTCTTTTTCTTTCTCCATCCCATTTTCTTTTTCGGTTTCTCTTTTGAAATATTTGAACAACTGTGCTGTGCCTGCGCCTACAAATGCACCAACGGTAAATACAGCAGCATATGCAGAAATGATTTTGTAGTTTTGAGACATGTCGCGCATAAGGCAGCTTTACTCTTTGTTGAACACGTCAGTATATATGAATTTGCTGACGTAATGCAAAGACAGAAAATATATATCCGTATTTATTCAAAAAAAAAAACTTTTTTTTCTAAAAATTTTTAGAAAAGTGAATCAAAGATACAAGCAAAAACAATTATCTTACTTCATAGAAAAACTAATTTTTTAAATATAACCTAGGAAATAATATTAATAGATCCATTCTCTTTTTTATATAATCCTTTTTTTTTTTTTTTTTTTTTTTTAACCCACAATCATGTCAAAATGGCTTGTCTTTATTAAGATACTTGAAAAAATAGCAAAATAATTTGCAGACCTTCTTACATAATGACTAACTCATCTTTATACATTATTAGTTAAAGGACTATACTACTTAAAAAATATGAGGTATTTATTAAGTTAGTTTGGATTAAACAAACTAAGTCTTAATTAGATACTTTAAGTCAAATTTAAGGAACAATATTATGTTATCCTAGTAGCTTGATATAATACCTCTAAATCAATCAGAATTATTATCAACAGTTTGTCATTATTGATTATTCCAAAAAATAATAAATTGCTAAAGTTGAAATTGAAAAAGTGGAAAAATGGAAAACAATTCAAAGTCCTTCAAAAGATTCTTTCTTTATTTCATAATCTCTTTTAAAAAAGAGTTTTGTCTAATTGGAATTTCTTTTTTACTTCATTTGAACCTCGAAAAAAGTCTTCTTTGTCACTATTTATAGCATTAAATGAGTTTTTATTTAAGCATGCACTGAATTGGGATAGTCCAAAAGAAATTAAAAGATCTCAGCTTCCACTTTAGGAAACCTTTTTACCATTTAATGAACTTAAAAAAGGGGTAGGATTTTTTTGTACAGATCTACCCCATCTTTTGATATTATAACTGTTTCCTGGAATCGATTATATACAGTTGAAGGGAAATTTCTTTTAGAACTTTCTTTCCTATATTACACATAATATAATAGAAATACATGATTATAATTAATAAGAGCTTATTTACTTTTTCAAAAACTAATGTGTTTTGTGTTAGCCAATCATCTTTGGTGAGGATTTGTACTACTTAAAATTTAAGATCAAACTGAGGTAGACAAAATTCCTCAGAAAACCATGAAAGTGATAGCTCTAAGAGATCCATAAGTAATTGGAAGGGAAAAAATAAACCCTTCTATTATCAAAAATCTCTATATATCTTTTACTTCAAAGGTAAAGAAAATTTTCATATACTTCACTATTGGTTCTTTTTTCTTTGAAAACTTTCTTGCCATTGATATCAAAGGTATTACTTAGCTTGTTCTTGGTCATCAGAAGTTAAGTTTTTAATCAAAAAGGATTGTAAACAAGTAAGAAAGGGTAGAGATGACTTTTAAAGTCACTTTTCAAGGAGTTTTAAGAAAAGTGTATCTTTTTATTTTTTTATTTTTTTGTTTTATATTTTCTATAGAAAGTGATATTGATTTTTTATGATATTATATATTTAATAAATTCAATTCGTCTTTATATTTCTTGATTCATTTTTCTTCTCTGATAATACTTAACTTCTTCTTTCAGTTTATTACTTTGATATAGTGATTACTTCAGAATTTTTTTTTGAAATTTTTTCATATTTTCTGATAAAGCTTACTAATTATAGATTATATAACTATCAGAAAGATTTTTAGCTACTTTTTTAAATAATTCTTTAAGAATATAATTTTATTTTTTTTATATATATATACATATAGTATTGAAAATATTTCTATCTAATTGTTGAATATCTTTAAGTCAATTCTTTATTCAATTAGTAATCTCAGGTAAAACTTCTTTTTTGGTTTGTATTTTATACAAAAATTAATCATTTTATATGTTTTCTTCCATATATTTTTGCTGGTTTTTTTTGTAACTGGATATTTAAAAAAATAGTTTAATATTTTTTATTGTAGTTTATATAAGAGATAAATAATTGGTAAATAAACTTATGATTTTTTTTTAAGTATTTATAATACTGAAAGTTTATTATGAATCAAATTTGTTAAAAAACTCTTGACTTTATTGATTTTAAAGAATATATAAAAGGTATTGAATAAATTAAACTGATTTCAAAAAATTGATTATTCTATATTTTTATTTTATTGAATTCAGAGATTCTAAATTCTCTTTTGTAAAATCCGGGTTAAGTCAATTTTTTCATGTTTAATATTTTGATGAAGTCACTGATGTTAATGTCTATTATGTATTTTTATTATAAAACTATTATTAGAACTTTCTTGAACTCTAATAACTAATACTATAATATTGGATTTTTATATCTAATAAATTTAATAAGAAAATTTATATAATTATTAAAGTTATTGATATTATAGATTTTGATCTTCTTTATTTTAAAAATAAAATCTTTTTTTTAATTAAATTTTGAATTTATTTTATAATAGTCAATTAATATTTTTAATCCACTTTTTATTGATACTTTTTTTTATGAGCAGATAAACTTTTATATTTTGATGGAAATATTATAATCTATAATAATTAGAATAGTTATACTTTAAGTGACTATATATAGAACAATAAAAATAGCCAATATTTCTGTTCTAGTTGTTGATGACTATAATGTTACTTTTGCTGAGAATTGCTTATTAATCTTGGTATTCTTTATTAGAATCCATGTGAAACTTATTTCTAATTCACTATATTTTGTTAGCTTCTTAAAAGAGCTATTTATATAAAATATGAAATAGTAATTTATTTTGTTTTATTATATCTTAGAATATCTATCAATTTATTTTGACATTATTTTAATTGAATAATTTGTTTAATTAATATAATCTTTCAATTTTCTACTTCTATTTCTATTTCAATAGAGTTAGTATTAAAAGAGGCTATTCTTTAATGGCTTATATGTATCTTCCAATCTATAGATTAGGATAGGTTTCTTAAGTTTTAGCATATAGAAATTTACAGCTCACTTATGTCTCTTTTTGAGAGACAAAATTTATAGCTCTTTATTTTAATAAAAACAAAAGTTATGAAATACTATAAATCAATGATTTGAATAATAAAGAACAATTATAGATAGTTTTTTTAAGTTATTAATTTAAAAATTTTAATAGTTCTTAAGAATAAATATTTGAATTTGTCTTTTTTTTCTTCTTTAGAAATCTATCTTTATTTGTAGAATTGCTTAGAAGAAAAATTTTCAAACTCTTTTTCAAACTCTTTTGTTTATTTAAATATGAAAGTAAATAGATTTATCTAGATAACACTTTGAATAACCAAACTATTATATCTAAATAAAGAAGGATACAATTATTAATAGGATTATATAAAAGTTGATATAAAATAAAAAAGATTTTATTATTTGAAAACTTAATTTTTTTATATTGATATATAAGATATTAGAAGAGATTATTCAGAATCAATGATATTATTTCAGTTTATATATCATAACTTATTCAGTTTATTCTATATAATAACTTTTATAAGATCCTGGTTTACTATTATTTTTTTAAGTATATTTTTGAATTAGAAAAAGATTAGTTCCTTGTGTTTATTCTAAAGATTTTGCTCTCTAATCTTTAAGTATTATTAGAATAATATTAATAAGTTGATCTATAAATATAATCTTATATTTTCTTAAATATAAAATAGTTTTTTTATACTTTTTATTATCTTGCAAAATTAATTTAATAGAGAGGATATCTTCTTGATAGTTGAAGATATTTTTCTATTTTTAACTTTAAGATATAATATATAATTTATTGGCTAATATTAGTATTGCAACTGTAAAGTTTCCTTTAATTAAGTTTATTGGATTCTATAAGATTATCTAAGATATTTTCTAACTTTAGCATTTAATTTGACTTTGTTTTAAATAAATTATAGTGGCAATACTGAAGATATTATTGTTATTAAACTGATAAAATAATAATAATATGTATGCTTTCTAGTATATTTATCAGATGCTTTTGAATCCATATATTTTTTTATTATAAATGCAACTATTTGATATTATTCTATAGATAAAAACTTTGTTTTTAAATTTTTTTGGTACATAACTGTAAGATTGTTATAAGTCTTTTTATCAAAATATACATATTATATTCTATATTTTATTTATAAGATAAGAATTTTATTTATGTAATGGAAGATATATACCAGTAAAATTCCTTTAACTAGGTGTGGCTGCTGGAAGATATCGAAAGTTACACAACAAGACTGAAAAGTCACATAAGAACCTGGGGTCCACCATTAGCCATTCTATATTATGTGGGTGGATAAAAATCAAGACTGAAAGAAAGAAAGCATTAAGCAAGACACTGGATCCAAGTAGGTGATAAGTACCTCAGATGGTCACAAGAAAATAATCAAGAGCATAGATAGATAAGTTCTTCAGACTATCAGGAAGAAGAAAAATATTCCAGAAGAGTTGATTTCTAATGAAAAAAGTGTTCTAGTCAAGGTTCTTTAGAGGATATGGAGCAATTTTAAATTTCTTTTTTCTTTTTCATTTTCATGTAAGTATGTTTGCATATTTTTAGATATCACCCTTTCCTTTTATTTTCCCTTTCCCTTTTGTAGTTTCTTGAATTCAGTTCCTTGAAGAATAATAAGCAGTGACAACCTACTAGTAATGATGGATAAGTTAGAAGGGTCTTCATCCAAAACTTAGTTCAGAACGAAATATTGTCCCCAAGATTGCACTTAGAGGCTAAAGCTTCTTTGAGAATTGAAAGCCATTGATGAGTGTATCAGTACAAGATTTTAGTTTAGCCATAATGCAATTGTCCTATGTATCTTAATCAGTTTTCTTAATGATTAATAAACACACAGTGCTGACTTGACCATGGGTATTAAAAAAAAAAAAAAATAAGAACTTTATTTATAATATAATAAATGTTTTTCAATTAGCTTTTTCTTATTTATTTATTTTTTTTTTTTAACCTTCTGTCAGGCTAGTTATATGTGCTTTATTAAATAATTGTAAGCTATATATTGTA